CTCCAGTCTGGGCGACAGAGTGAGACTCCAATTCAGAAAAAAAAAAAAAAGAAATTCTCTCATTCAAAAAGAGATTTTTCATCTGATAAGAGGCTAATGGAAACAAACAAAATCTGAGATATATTTCTGTTCCAACATACAGCTTGAGGCATGTCAAATCAAAATCCCTGTTATTGTCACAATTGCCAACCAGGAAAGAACAAAATCGCATTTCCTTTCCACACAGGAGAGAAAAACTGAAGGCAGAATAAATAACCTAATTTTGTTTATTTACCAATGTGCACATGTCCTATGAAATCTAATGTGGACACAGCACTTGAGTTGCAAAAGCAGCTCAAGCTTCCCTGATCAGCATCTTCCCAGAGTGCCCCAAATTTCTAGGCTCCAGTTTCACATGCTGGAAGTTTTCCAGGTGGACCTGGTTAAACGTCCAAAGCTGTGGGTAAATGCAAATCAGCATTGTTGCACATTGTGTGAAGGGGTTGGGGGAAGGCCATGTGCTTAAGCACCAGTGCCTGCTTGGAGGAGTGTGTGCATGGGGTTACCGTGCGCATGTGTAAGGGCGAGGAGTATGTGTGCATGCCCAGGTGAGAAACATTGATGCGTGTATGTGGGCTTGTGTTGTGTGTGTCCCCATGTCTCCATGTGCGTGTGTGTTCGGCATGGCGGTGCAGTCCTGACTTGTGGAGCTGGACCGCTTGGGTTAGGAGCATATGTTGTGTATGCTGGCAGGACACAGTGTCCTTGGCAGCAGCCCAGGCTGAGGAGGTGGAAGCCGGAAGACTCCGGAGCGGCACAGTGGATACAGGGCACAGGGACACATAGGAAAGCCCCTTCCCAGGTAGCCCCTTCCATCTACCTGTTCCCTTTTTACCCCCATCTCAGGCCCAGCGCTCAGAGCAGAAGGGGGTTGAGGACAAACTAACCTCATGGAACGGACAATGGCCTTGCTGGGCCACCCTGTGCTCTGTGGCTGGTAGAGTGGGTGGAAACCATTCAAAGGAGGCCGCTTGGCTGCACAGCCAGCCCATGTGGAGGGCTTAATCAAAGCCACATTTGGTTGGCAAAATCCCTGTCCCCTGAAGGATTGCAAGCCATGAAGGCAGATTTGGACTTGTTTAACATCACAGCTCGCTGACAACCACAACCATCCCACAACAAAATGTCTTCCTTCCTCAGGGTTCACTTCCCCTTGTAGGAAGAATTCAAACAGAGACTTGGCACTGGAGGGAGATTGGCAGAGAGCGGGGACCACTGGGGACTCTTTGAATTCTAACCTCCTAAGAGTCTTTATTTATTTATTTTTCTGATTGAGGTGAAATTCATACAACAAAAAATGAACCATTTAAAAGCGAGCAATCCAGGGACATTTAGTACATTCACCATGTCATGCAACCATCATCTCTACCTAATTCCAAAATGTTTTTATCATCCTGTTATGGACTAAAGGTTTGTATCCAGCCAAAATTTATATGTTGAAGCCCTAAGCCCCAGTGTGGCTGTATTTGGAGATGGGGCCTTTAGGGAAGTAATTAAGGTTAAATGAGGTGGGGCCTTGATCTGATAGGCTTAGTGTCTTTATAAAAATAGACATCCAGGACTGGTATGGTGGCTCACACCTATAATCCCAGCACTTTGGGAGGCTGAGATGAGAAGACTGCCTGAGCCCACAGGTTCGAGACCAGCCTGGGCAACTTGGTGAGACCTCGTCTCTACAATAAATCAAAAAATTAGCTAGACGTGATGGCTTGTGCCTGTAGTTCCAGCTATTTGGAAGGCTGAGGCAGAAGGATCACCTGAGCCCAGCGGGTCGAGGCTGTTGTGACCATGAACATGCCACGGCACTCTAGCCTGAGCGACAGAGTAAGACTCCGACTCAAAAAAAAAAAAAAAAAAAAAAAAGACATCGGAAAGTGTGCTCTCTCTCTCTCTCTCCTTTTTCTCTCCCCCCCCACACACACCAAGAAAAGGCCATGTAAGCACACAGCGAGAAGGCGGCTGTCTGCAACCTTCTGGGAAAACCCTCACCAGACACCAACCCTTGATTTTATTAATAGACTGCCAGTCTCCAGGACTATGAGTAAATAAATCTCTGTAGTTTAAGCCACCCAGCCACCAGCATCTTGTTGTGGCAGCCTGCGTCGACAAATATTCCAAAAGGAAACCCAATACTCATTAGGCAGTCACACCCCATCCCTCCCTTCCTCCAACCCCTGGCAAGCAAGTCTGCTTTCTGTCTCAGTAGCATGTATATTCCATTCTTTTTTATGGCTAAATAACATTCCATCATCTATCCATAGACATTCACTGTGTTTAATGCCACAATCTGCTTATCATACATCCCTCGATGGGATCTAAATTATTCCTACCTTTTGGCCATTGGGAGTAGTTCTGCTCTATACATGTGTGTGTTTGAGTGCCTGCATTCAATTCTTTTGTGTATAAACCTAGGAATGGAATTGCTGGGTCATATGGTAATTCTACATTTAGCTTTCTGAGGAACTGCCAGGCTGCTTTCCACAGCAGCTGCACCCTTTTACATCCCCACCAGGGTTGCACAAGGGCTGAGACTCTTCCACCCACTAGGAATCCTTCTGAGGCTGGAAGGGTTAGGCTGAACCGCCCCCCCCAGCCCAGGTCCCATCCAGGGAGGTCTGAACTGTCACAGCTGGAGTAGGGGGTGGAGCCTGGATCTCAGGTCCACAGGAGAGAGTTCTAAACAAAGGACCAGGTACACAATCCTCTCATATCCAGTTACCTCCCAGCTGAGGTGGGCATCTAGAGACTGCTGCCAGCTACCAGAGGTCAGGCTACAGGGGTTCTGACATACTCTAGTAGGGGAGATGGGAGACTCCTTGGTCACCAGAGCATAGATGCTCATATCTTGAGCCATGATTGCCCACTCTGAGTTATGGGTCCCAGTTTGAAATATGAGAGTACCCTGTAAGTCATGAGCGCCAACCTTGAGTCAGGCTTATAGAGATATCCCCATCTAAAGTGGGGCCATGCCAGTGACCAGTGAGGGCACAAAGGGATCCCTCCTCCTCTGTGTCCCTTGTCCTCCCCACTCCCATTACTCTCCTCCCAACTCACCCTTCCTCCTGTGCAGCCAAGGAGCTCTGAGAGAGCTTAGCTAAGTTCTTCGCATATTCTTCTTCAATTTTTATCCTGCAAAGGGAGAAAACCCAACATGTCAGCTCTCCAGTGCTAGATCGTGGGTCTGCCCCTGCTGCCTTGTATGTTATCAGCTGTGTGAAGAAGCCCACTAGACTGTAAGCTCTGAGAGTGTATGGCTCTTGTCTGTCTACCTGACACATAATAGGTGCTTAATATATATCTGTTGAATAAATGAATGTACAAAACTGTCTGAGTCTCCATCTCCTCATCTGAAAAGTGGGATCTTTCCAACTATCTTCTAGGACTATGAAGACAGAAATAGTCATTTTCACAGCTCCTAGCAGAGTTAGACCCATGAGAGGCCCTTAAATGAATGAATGCAATTCATGATGGACCACGAGGGACACCCAGTACTGGCCTCCTCTCCTTTCTGGGGCCCAGAACTCCCAGATGGCAGCAGTCTCTTGGAAGCTGGAACGGTGCATCTCCCTATCATCTTCCACCCCCCCACCATGCCTCTAATTGTCAAGCCTGCTGGGCACAAGTATTTCCATGGAAACCAGGCAGTGCCCAGAGCAGCAGCTCGATTTTATTTCCCAGGAGAAGAAAGTTGCCTTGGATGTGGCTTCCAGCAGACAGGCCCTTGACAGATTTGTAGGGAAACTCTCTGGGGGGTGTTCTGTATTATCCAGCACATCCATGTTAAGCATGTTGTCAGAGGATATCATTCACGGCCCAAGCAGACCTCTGGGCTGCGGTAAGAGACACAGAAGCTGTGCTTATGCCAATCAGAGGGCTTGGGCCTCAGAAAGCTCCTGAGCTATTATCTAGTGAGCAGAGAAGCTCCAGGGATGCTGCAGCTCCTGGTCACTCTGGCAACTGGTGCCCGAAAGGTGTGATGAAGGAGAAGGGGCGGCTGAGAGTCTGGCAGTGGCACTTGGCATGTTAATCATCGCACAATTAAGCACTGGGAGACTCCCAGTATCAGTCCTTCTCTCACTGCTTCGTTTTCACCTCTGGCCAGCCTTAGGCCCTCCCAAACCTAATCCCTGACCTGCCTCTGTCACTTCCTCTCCATTCCCCCAGCCTTCTCTGCAGCTCTCCCTGAGATACATGGACAGCCAGCCTCTACCTCCAGACTGTGGCCAAGAGATCTCTTGGAAAGCTGATCTATCCATGTCACGCTCCTGGCTCCTCAATGCCAACTGCGTGTGCCAGGCACAGGGGGGACGTACACCATCTGTCTCCTGAGCCTCACCTTCTGAACCAGCAACTGCTTCACGTCTGCCCCCTGCTCCACTTTCCTAAGCCAAGGCCGCAGCAAACCGGCCAGTAGTGTCTGTCCCCAAACCAAGCCCGCTTCCACCTCTGTGCCTCAGCTCTGGCCTCCCTGACTCTGAAAGGCCCTCCTTGTGAGGCCCCAAGGTGGACTGAGAGAAGTTACAGGTATCTGCATTTTCTCTGTAAAGTCCCAGGTTTCCTGAAATGGCAGATTCCATTCATTTGCTAATAAGATGTTGCTACGAACGTATAAACCTTAGCATGTTCAAGTTTTGGCTTCCACAGCCATTTTCCCACATGTCTGTTTTATACTATTGTTTTCTCGCACCCAAGCTATGCAACCTCTCAATGTCCTACCAGTTTAATGGGTCATAAAACAAGGAATTGATTACACACATTGAAAATAGGCCCCCTAAGGGAAGGAGGTGCTTTAAAACACCAAAGCACTATTACTTAATTACTATTGTTATCATTAAAAAAGAAATATTTTTTATCCAGGCTCAGGTGGCTCAGTCTGTAATCCCCTGCCTTTGGGAGGCTGAGGTGAGTGAATTGCCTAAGCCCGCGGGTTCGAGACCCGCCTGGGCAGGCGA